TGGTACTGAATTGAAACGGAGAAAATATATATATATATATCTCTTTGCATCAGCCGATCATTGCACCGGCCCCTTGCATCTAAATGTCCAAAGGGTCATTTAAGCAGATAACGGCACCGTGGTATTTAATGCGCCATGTAGTACATGGGACGCAGGACAGCGTTTAACACTTGGCTTGAACAGCGTATATTCAACCTAACAAGACTGCCATGATCCGTAGATGAATAAGTGACAAAGTGTGACTCCGATGTCCTGGGGGAGGCTTTCGATCAGGGATCATTATTTTTAATGTGATGTATTCAACGGCGAGTGCCGGCCTCTTCAAGACCTCCCAATAACCTTCTCGTAGCTTTGATCCATCGAACATTTTCAACTTTCCTACTATCGATCTGAAGGGGTGGCCTCTGACAGCTTAGAGGCTCTTTGAACAGAGTCCGCAAATTGCCGGTTCTTCCTGCAACTTGTCCTACCCATTGACGTTTCAGCTTCTTCATTGGCTGGTTAAATAGTTGTAGCGAAATTCGCCCGACATATTTAACATCTGTAAGGACTGGCGCAGGTAATTCTGAAGAAGAAAGGTAATAAGCACAAGTTCAAGCATTCAGGCTCCAGTTTTATGTAATTGTGTTTAGAATCCTTGTTTTGATCTGCATGGTCTCATGAACGGTTTATAAGATGTTATTGAAACCTACAACTATCCCGTTGTGAAGCCGTTTTTCAACTTTAGGGCAGCATAGAAATTTGAAATTGAAGATATTTCCGTCAGATCTGAGAAAAATCGTTTCGTAATAAGAATAAGAGCCCATATGCTTTGGATGTCAAGCAAAAATTGCTTTTTCGACGTGATCTTTTTCTCTATGCTGAAAAATGCTCGGTTAAGAAATAAGACGGCTGATTCTGTGTTCTTGTAAATTGCATCCGCCATATTTTCGCGTTGTTTCAAGAGACGCTCTCGATTTGCTTCCTTGCTCTCCTACTTGTCCCATATTTAAACCTACCCAGTAACTTAACCACGCTGCTGAGTCATGAATGCCTCATTTCAGTCGCAAGTGCATCGGCTAATGAGTATTCCATCGTTCACAACCACTCAGTGTTCCACAGTTCTTCTTGTTCATCCTTGATGTCTCGTCCAATACGTAATCTCTCACGAATTTTATTTCTTACCTAACACTTTCTCTCCCTGTCCAATTGCATTTGCAGTCAACACTTTTCTTCCCTGTTGAAGCTGCTTTACATATACATATAAATCTATGATCGTAGCATCAGTACTCAAAAGCGTAAGTCACTACCGTTGTTCTGTAACTATTTTTGGATGTGATTACTTTAAGCGTTTGTTCATATGCTTTTTCAGCTTCAAGCAACGACCCTGAATCGATCCCTTGAAACTCTTTACAACGGGGAACTCCCATGATAACTGCGAATGATCAATTCCAGCATTAGCAGAAGTAACACCAGTGAAACAAATCATCAAAAAGATATCACAAAAGCACATCCGCAGACTAATTGCAAAGAAAGCTCACGAAGCGGCTTCTGAATGTTTGAGAACACTAGGTCAATTTTATGGTTATTCGCCGTAAAGGGTATAGAGATTCGACAAGAATTTAATATTTTAGTATTTCGCCAGGTTGCCAGGCAACCAGAAGAAGACAAAAATTTTACTGTAAAACCTTAATAATCAAACGCTAAGCGTGAAACATATGTTTTGTTTCAAATTTTCACATTTCCTCTTGACTCGGTAGAGTCGTTGTTTCTAGATTGTGATAAAATCCATTCTGCCAGTTTCAACGATGATTGCTCAGGAACGCGTTGTTTACAATTTGTTTGGTGGTCGCATTTTATCTAGTCTATAAAAGACCCATTATAAACTGTTCCTACGACAAATTTCTGTTTCCCATTCAAAGGCATATTCTCGAATACTTGTCTGTGAAGCTGCAACGGCTACGGGAAATGTACCAGTAGACTGAATAGCGGAGGTTATACTACCCTTGTTCAAGAAAGGAGACCATGAAGTTTCAATTATTTTATTGAGCCTCCTGAGAAAAGTCTTCTCGAAGGCATTAGAAAGGAGGTGCCGCGGAATAACTGTTTCAGGTCAGGTTGAAGCACTTCTTACGAGATCTTCGCCTTACGCTAGATTATTGAAACCTCACAGGAGTTCGCTCATTGGGTTAATCTGTGCTTTGCTGAGCCTACGACCTACATCCCGTTTAATAAGCCATGAGTATGCCTGCTAATAAATGAGATCGATGGCTATTTACTGTAGGTCATCCAATCACCCTATGCTGATAGCAAGAGCTGCGTCAGAGTAAATGGCGTTAAGTCGAATCCTTTCAGCGTTGGCACTGCTCTCCGCCAAGGCTGCTTTCTGCCCCCTCTCCTATTTGTGTTATACATGATAGACTAGTCAGGCGCAGCCAAGGCGATGAGTGTATCAGTAGAGGAGAGGTGAAGACGAGAAGGTCATTGTTTGGAGAAA